GAAATCTATAAAGAATTGCTTAATAGTTGATTGAATGGTTAAGTGTATTGAAATCAGTAGCATTTTTAACTCGTAATTTATTGCCAACATTAAAATAAAATTTGTGTTCTATATAAAATCAATGAATAATACTTAATGTCGACAAAGTAAACAGCTTTATTTATTTGCTACTAAGCAAAGCAAGTTTTAGATATATAGACACGTACATAATTGAAGCTTAGGAATTTATTATTAGATACTAGAAACTATTTGTTAGTTACTCGCGCATATTTATGTCGATAAGAAGGCAAAAAAAATATAAAATCAAATAAATCAGGTATGGAAAACCAGTAGAAAATATGCATACAAATATTTGATGACTGCAGGGCAAACAAGCGTAGAAAATGAGCTCATTTTTAGCAAATTATGTCATTTGGTCATAAATTTTTGCTTCACACCCAAAAGGAACTTAACATATGCATTAAAAAATACACCTCGCTTTGCTCTTAAGCTCTCTGTGTCGTTGTATATACACACTGCACAAATTATACCAAAAAATTGCAAACGTCTTTTATAAATTCAATAAGGTTTATAATATATGAAAATACATTATAATTATCAATTAACTAGTCTCATTCTACCAATTCCAGAGTGGTTATCTTCTTCTCCATAGAATTCTCCAATCGTAAAGAACAAGTAAAATACAGTTAAGCACACAGAAAATAACTTCGTATTGTAATTATGTACAAAAGTTTATTCACTCACCGAATTTCCGAAGCCATCTCACAAGTAACTTCACCAGATAATCTCCAATGGCATATATGTATTTTGGCTTCTTCATTCGCCAGACAACCAATCACTGGTGGTACCTTCAAACTTTGGTCCTTAGATTTTCTTCCTCTGCTGTTGATAGGGCGCAATCTGTCAAGATCACCTGATTTTCAGCAAAGTAAGTCACTAAAAGAGCTGAAAGGGTGTCAATACATGTCTCATGCCTCTTAAGTGAACCTCGCTCAACCGTTTTTATCTTTTTAATAACTTTCACTAGCGAAACTGTTTGACACAAGCTATCAGTACCACTGCAGTATTTTTTCTTTTCTTACTCCTGTTAGGTGCAGCATTGGCGGGCGTTCTCAGCCTAGCTGTCTGGTTGAGAAATTTTCATGAATCAACTCACAACTTCTAAATCTGTCTGCTCCAACACGGAATGCTGCTTAGGGAAAAACTGTCACGAATAGTAGCCATTGCATTGACCACTGCCTAATTAATACCACTCTTTCACTTTAAAAAATGAGCACCCCACCCAGCAGTTAGATAGAGTTAGATCAATAAACTCTTGCCTTCTAGAATCAACCAACGTGGAATTGTTGCCCACATACGAAATGCCTAGTCCTCAAGGCAAAATACACTCTTAAGCGGAACTGTGGACAAAATACGGTAATACGTAGGTCTTGCAACCAACAAGTCCTGACGGCAGAATCGCACAAGTTTGGTGACTGCAAAGTGGGAGGACGATATAAGACAAGCTATCAGTCTGATCGAGGTTTTGTATAGAATATGTTGACTCCACATAAGGCTTCCCGGCCAAAGGCGAGGTTGGGGTTTGGAAAATGTTCTTTTAATATTTTTTTTGGGATATGGAAAATTTTCTTTTAAATTTTTGTCTTTGAATACCCTCGAAAATTAGCAATATTTATTTTTGGAAAAGTTATATGCTATGGACTAAAATATATATATATAACTACATCCTCGAATTTCGTTCTTCTTACTTTATTAGCTTAAAAAAATTCAAACAATTAAAAGGTCAGTTCCAACACTTAATCGCCCCTGTGGTCCTTTGTTGATACTTGTTGGTTTTACAAAATTTTCTATTCCATTTAATAATTTTTTTCCAATTAAGTATATCGAGCCCTTACCACCAAAAAACCTAAGGGAGATTTTTTCAAAATTTTCTTCTTGATGCCGGAATTCATCTGCGTCAAAAATTATTATTATTTTTTTTTTGAAAAAATGTCGCTTACGTATTTTTGGCGAATAGGGCCCGATATCTTTGAAATTTCAAAGTCCTTTAAAAAAAATTCTGATGCCAGAGAAAAAAACTAAAAACGCAGTTTTGTTATATTTGGTTCCGGTATTCGTATTATAGTTTCGTGAGTATATTGATTGTTTCGTGCGTCTTGAAATTTTTTGGTTTTTGGGTGACTCTGTTCTGTCTTACTTTAGGCAAAAAGCTGTTTCTGAGATCTCGAAAAGCTTAAACAGACGGCAGCCTTGACCCCGATTATCTTGGTTTTAATCCAGATCAACTGCAGTTAATTCCCGAGTTGATCCGGATCAACGCTGCCGTCTGTTTATGCTTTAAGACTGAAAAAAAATTAAAAATCTCGTCTAAACTTAAAACTGTATTTTCACTAAATAGAATCAGTTTTAGCTTGCTACTACGGGTCAATATCTCGAAGGGCTTCAGTGAGTGCAATTAGTTTGTTAGACCCAGGAGGAATAAGGTAATGAATTTCTTGTACGTATAGGGCACCCATGCAAATATTTTTAAATTATCGAGCTCTTTGATTATTAAACAGAGAAAACTTTAGAAATACTTGGCGCTCACACCTGTGGAGTTAACTATCAAATCAAATTCTAAATAGTTTTACCAGCTGTATTCCATTGTAGGTTTACACTAGTACCTATACACAAATGGATTTGTATGTATATGTAGGTTGTGTTTACAAATGTATATCGATGTGTATATCGTTAAATTGAATACCATTAGTCAATTAAGTCGTTGCAAGTTAGTAAGTAGTTAGTAATCATTGAAACAATTATAACATTTCTACACATATCTGAGCATTTTATAACATATTTACATCGTTGCCTTACACATTATTGTGAAATATAAATAAAACTTACTTGCATACAAATGTATGTACATACACATCTATTTAAAATGTTCTTCAGGGGAAGTTGAATAATATTTATTATGTTAATGGCGCGATTTTTTTTTTTTTTTCGCTACAACTGTTGAGTTGTGGTGAATTACATTGCCAACAGCTGTTATCTCGATTCAATTGTTATTAATTGTTGTATTTATTTATATGCATATAAATACAGCTTAATATAATTATTTAAGAGCAGCTGCATATATTTAGTATGACAGCTTGTGCACTGCTGGGCGTGAGTTTGTAAAAATGTTTTGACATTTAACGGAATAATATAAAATTTTTTTCTACAGATTTTGACTATTGGCAACTCACCGAAATGCTTTTATACATTAAAAGTAATTAAATGCAATATATTTTCGGCGCTGTAACTGTCTTTAAAAATCTTACATCTCATTAAAAAGGTGCCACGTTATCAAAGGTTATGAGCGATAATTATATGTATGTATTTGTATATGGGGCATTCCATACCAAAAGGGACGGGGTTCACACTTCATGTGTTTGATTTGTTTAAAAATTTTTAGCGTTGATGTACAAACATAAATAATAAATAAATATGAAATTTGAGCTTGATTAATACATTTTTAAAAACTTTGCAGCACAAAAACAAAATCAAATCGATTTAATAGTTTCCCAAATAGCACGAAAACGGGACGAAAAAAAATCGAAACAATCACACATACACACATCAAAATTCTCTATGAAAAGATATATTTAAAATTTTTTTTTTTTTGAAAAATTTTTCACACAAATTTTTTGATAAAAAAAAACTAGTTTTTGAAAATATGTCATCTCAAAAAAATTGAAAAAATTCATAATGGTAGCTCTGAGTATTGCGCAATATTTAAGTATTACGGGGTGCACTCTACAATAATTTGAGTTATGAATTTTTTTCCCACCGAAGTTGAGTAAAATGAGTACGTTACAAATTTAAAAATTTTTAAATTTTCTTTTTAGAATTTTTTTTTGCAGTTTTGTAGCCCATTAAATTTTAGTATAATAAATGTGCAAGTTTTAAGCGATTGCAAAACTGGCATAATTTTTTTTTTAATTTTCTTCCATAAGCCGTCAGCATAAAAAATATTAAAAATCTCGACTGTTTTCAAAGAAAAATTTTTTTTTTTTTGAATCATATACGTTCTCTGGTATTGTTGGTCCATTGTTAATTGACTAAAGGCTCAGTTATGCATACTTGGCTTTGCATGAGAGTTGTCACATAAGGAATCTGTTTAATGAGCTTTGCGTGTAGGCGGTTGCCCAACGCACAGAATTACATATGTACCTATGTAAAAGTCTGTTGATTTTTGATTTCTACGTAAAATGACATGCTATGCAGTGCAGTGCAAAGTATGCATAACTGAGCCTTAATGATTGTGCAAAATGTATAGAGGCGCACCTTTCAACTCATATAATTTGTTACAAATACATACATACATATGTACAAACGTACGTTTGCATCTCTAACGTAAATTTAAGTTTAATAATTTTTGCTTAAAGCTCGTATCGAAGTGCATCACCTTAATGCTTGTCTATTGTGAATGATTTGCGAAGCTTTCGCGGAAAGATGACGCTGTAGTTCGTTGTTGTGCTTTTTGGAGAAAAAAGCTTTCAATTTAAATTTTTTGTATAAGCTTTCTGGTGTAAATCCGTTAAATATTTATGTGAATATAAAAAGAAAACGAATGAAGCCACATAGCGCTTTATTAAGGGATATAGATATACATATACATATATATGCATTTATGTACATATGTATACAAATCGTCAGCTGAAATGGAAAAAGTCGTGACTAATATTTTTACTATATATTTTTCATAAAATGATGTGGGGAGTTGTAATTCGATGAAATCCATTATATAACTCAAAAAGTGAAGTTTGAACTTTTTATTAGTTATGACTTTTTGCATTTCAGTTGATGAAATATTTGGTGTTTACATTATTACTCACCTTCTTAATTTAGTCTCCAAAGCTACTAATTTAATCAAATTACAACGCAAGTACCAACCAATGGCCTATTAAGTACTTTAAAGCTAAGTTTTTATTTCAAAAATTCGTATAATGGTAAAAACTTAAAAATCCTCACTAAACTATGCTGAACTAAAGAATAAAAGTGAGAAAATCGAGCTCGAATATTTTTGATGATTCTTTTAATTTAACTTGTAGATGCGAGCTCAATAATTAGAATATTTTTTATGTATGGCACCTGGTTCATTAACACTTCATAATCGCTTCCTTTCTATGGTGGTTTCCTAATTTTCAACAGCTCGCTGTCTACATCTAGCCCACCGTTTCAACACTTCTGCCATATACGTATGTATGTATATTCATCAGTCTTTCGGCAAATTACTGTCACTCTTCCCCCGACTATAGGGTCGCGCGCCGCCCAACATACGCTCCAATAGACTCTGTTTCGATTTTCGCTTCGACGCCAGCACTTCCTTGCACAGTTCGTGAAAGACTTCGGCCACCTGATCGACATGATCCGCCGCTGATACTTCGCTGAATTTACATTCAAAGTCTTTGGCTAGAATTTCACCCTCGTCGCGGCTCACCTGACGCAAATGCACCATATCGACTTTATTGGCCACCAGCTGAACGGGCGAATCGGATTGTAGGTCAGATTTGGCGCGTCTTATATAATTGAAAGAGCAGCGATCGGTGATGGAGTAGACGAGTAGCAGGCCATCAGCCCATTGCAGTAATTCGGCGGCATTGGGGAATTCGTCATCGGCCTGCAGAGTGGTGGGTGGTGGTTGTTGGGTTGTTGCGCAGAAACGCATAATGTCACCACCAATGACACATTACAACAGCGTGATTCGTTGTTGTTGTTGTTGTTGTGCAGTGAAAGGTGACATCAGCCAGTGTGAATATGAAAGTAAAATAGAAAAATAAAAGTATAAATGAGTAAAGAAAGGAAAGGATAATACATAGTGCGCTTGGAGACAGTCGCACTGACACAGCTGCTAGACTGGGTGAGATTGGCACTCCTCTTTGCTAGCAGAAAATGGAAAATTGAGTTATTATTTCAACAACGAACTACTGACACACATTGCTGCAACGCGTGCACTCTCTCAGACTTTGGCACATAAAAAACTTTCTGTCGACTACACAGTTACTTTTGTAGAAGGAGCCTCCGAATAGGCGCACATACATACATATGTCTGTATGTGTTTTTTTTTTTGAGTTTGCAGAGTTCTGCTTCACATTTACAGTTGTCAACATGCAACAGGAGTGATTTCACCTATCACACATATATACACACACACACACTCGCATACCTATGCATACATGCAAGTGAGTGAGCCAACCATACACATTTGAATTCACTTAACACACAAACAATGTCCTTGCTATCCTTGCCGTCCTTGCTCTGGCGGCTGTCTGCCAACGGTTGTGTGTACATACATACATATTTACATATGTTTGTGTGCGAGCACGCATTGTCAGAATAATTCACTTACCTTGGGGCATGTGTCTAGTATTTCAAAAAGCACCGGCTCCCCATCCACCATCGCTTCGTGTTTGTATCGATTTTCTGCAATACAAATAAACATAAAAATGCTTTTATAATTTTATATGTGTGTGAGTGCAGGAATGGAAAGCAGTACTATATGGGCAAATATCTATGTACATATATATGTAAATGTAAATTAAATTTTCTCACCTTAAAGTGGAGAAGAATATATGACAGCACGCAAACTTTAGAATAAGTCAAAGTGTGATAATATTAGTGTGAAACTTAGAAAAGCTGGGTTGATACTGTGGAGTTTATGCAGGATACTTATGGAGTTATGAATATTTAAAAACTAGTATTTCACTTCATTCTTTGATGTTCTGGATGCAACCAATATTCAAAACAAATTTTATCGAAATCGAACAACGTTTAAGATATCCGTATACATTAGTATGAGCGTGTTTTTCATTTCTAAGAAAATTTTAAGGAAAATGGAATATGTTTACTACTTTTTGCTGGAGAAGTTAAAATACCGACTCCTAGCGACTAGCATCTCAAATTATAAAATCTGCAATCATAGAGATAATTCCAAAAACGTCGAGACTATGGGGACATTTCTAAGGTATCGAATCCGGACATACAACTTCCTTTTTAATACAGTTTTATTTAAAACAAAACAAAATGTTAAAAGTGATGTAAATAGGGAAAAGACATTTAAATTGGGCTACTTTTCTACTATCTCAAAAAAAAAAACAAAATTTTCAGATTTGTGGAACATTTATAAAAATTCGACAAATTTTAAATAGGGAAAATACATTTAGTTTGGGCTACTTTTCTTTGTTTAAAAAATGTTTATTATATTTTTTTAATGAAAATATAACTTACTATATCAAAAAAAAAAAAAATATGTAAATCCAAATTCCCAGCTTTGTGGAACATTGATAAAAATTCGACGAGTTTTAAAAAATGTTGATCACAATTTTAAATTTATTAATAAAATTTTATAGAATGGTTTTGAGCATACAGTTTTGTAGCCCACGTAATTTTAGCACAATAAAGTGTAAGTTTGAAGTAGCTTGGACTTGCTGTTGATTTTTGGCAACTTTTTGTTCGCGCATTTTCTTCCATATGTAAAATTTTTTTTGTGTGTGGATAACATAAGCACCACCTTACCCAAAAAAATTTACCAAAAATCAACGGTAAGGCTTGGCTACTTAAAATTTACATACTCAGATTTTTTTCTAAGAAATCTAATTAATAAGCTCAAAATTTTGATAGTACTTTGTCGAATTTTGCTAGTTTTTATACAGCTTATTTTTTTCATATCCATAAATTTGTTACGGGAATTAGTATTATTTTTATAATTTCACTTAATTCAAATTAGATTCGCTTCATTAAAAAAAAACTTAACAAATAATTATAAAAACCTTAAAAAACTTTTTGACAAAAATGAAAGACTGCAATATAGCTAGGGTACAAGTTTGACATAATAAAACATAACCAAAGATCATAGAAAATAAGAATGCTGGCTAAGTTTGTGGCTCCCCTATATTTTATATTCTTTGTGATAACGAAAATGCTGCCACGTTTGTATGAAAAATTGTTTTTGGGCCAGAGTGCAGGGAAAATCTTATTAAATTAATAAAGAAAACATTGAAAATAGGGATTTAATCGGTACAGATATGAAAAATCGGGCCACTTATACGTTTCGACTTTAAAAAAATATTCAGCGGCACAATTTTCTCAAAATCAGTACTGTCCCGCCAAAATCGCCACGAATGGTCACCGTGCCTATGATGCCATCACTGATACAGAAATAGAATGATAAATAAACAAGGGACGGTAAGCAAATGCTGGAGGTACCTACTAAATAATATAAATCTATTTTCCTGGCTACACTGAGTTGGGAGAAAATCGGAAATTTATTTTCTTTTTTTATTTTTTCTTATTATTTTTTAATTTTTTTGTAGTTTTTTTTTATTTTTTAAATTTCCTTTAATTTTTAGATTTTATTGGTTTTTTTTTGGAATAAATATCATTTGTATTTAATATTTTAAAGTTTTTAGATATATTACCCAATGAAATTGTTTTTAATCAGATATCGCGTTTTTAGAGTAAAATAAAAAGCAATTATCTTTCCCTCTATATTTGGGATTTAGAGGGGTTTGGGGTGTGCTTCAGTGCCGATGTGGAGGCCGGCAAACATTGGTACCCACAAGCAATAGCGTTGATAGGGTGACTTAAGTGGATCCCCTCATAAAAGGCGATATTGAATAATGAATCCTCTCGCTAACTTGCAAATATAAATATAGTCATTGTTGAGAGTAAAGTGACATGGTGGCTGAATGTGAAGGAGAGGGCTCTAGAAGGCCTTTAAATGCCTTACACACTTGCAGGAAAACGCTCAGTACGATATGGGGCTTATCCCTTGATTAGCATATCTAGATATATACATATATGTACATATAGCAAGCATTGGACCAATAATGCCCTTTGGTGTCTTACTATCGTGGCCTGCAGAAAAAAGGTTATAAATAACATATTTTTAAGTTTCAGGACTACTTAAGCGTTTTTCAAGCCTCAATCTATGCTACAACTAAAGTAGCAAAGTAGCTCTAACTTCTCAAAACTCAGACGTAAATATTTTCACCGACAGCCAGGCAGATAAAATCGCCACTGTGCTCGGTAGAATGCGAGTTGCTATTTACTGCATGCTGGATACAAAGAAATTAAAGGGGGTAAATGGGCTGATATGCTAGCTGAAATCCGGCCTAAATAAATCTACCATTGATAAGGACGCTAGACATCTTATCCTGCCCACATTTAGTCATACTTTTTGACATATTTCTGCTTCAAGAGTGTATGAACTAAAAGTCGGGAGTCTAGTACACATATACAGCTATCAATTTTCTTACAAGTCAATTAGACATGGCATTGATATGGAGGGCTAAACGTTAACATCTCTGAAGACAGCCAAGATCAGGCATTGCTCTTGCAAAAAGAGCAAACTATATACGAATGCTTCTACTGCCGTGAATTTTATGTGAAGTTCGAGCTTAGTGCTGATCGACTACACCGTGTTCGGGGACTGCATTTCACTACTCTATTTAGTTTAGTTTCAAAAATTGAAACTGAGCTAAAGATCGATAACGATATGCATGTATGTATGTATGTTTATTTGAAAATTCTCTTACTATGTATGTTCTATGAACGACTTAATACATAAATAAGCTATTATTCGTCGTAATGTTATAGAAATGCCCTGAATACCAAACTCGATGACCTTGGTTGAATTCACCTGGGTTGTAATCAAGTACATTTTCAGTTGTGGTTTATGACTTTTTTTGCTTTACTGCAGCGCTTTAAACTCCCATAATAAAAAAAAGAGAAAAATCTACAACTAAAAATTGGTGTGATTAAATTTCTATAGAAAGCACGCAAGTGCGGTGTTTCGTTTCTTTTGTTTGTGTTATTTATACACAAGTGTACTATGTTTGTTTTAATACATTGAAATATTCTATTAGTTTTTTTTTTTTTTTAGTCACACATACAGATTTACTTCGTCAAATATTTTTCCTGTCATTGTGAAGTAATTATTGAGTGTTTCCATTTTCCACTTTCCAACGCATTGTAATGGCACGAATTTATAGAAGTATCCTTTTACAAAAGTGGTAAATAAATAAGTGCTGCAATTAACTGGAATTTAGGTCAGGGTAGAGAAATATATATAGCTTTTTTTTTGTAATACTTTTTTTTACAAACTCATATATTCATTACACATGCATGTATATGTATATAATTGCATGTATGTTAGCATGCAAGTCTCTCTGGAATTCTTTAATAGCTCTCTTAAAATTTATTTTCAATAATTGAATTTTTACATCGCTTTTGCTTTAATGAATGCTTGGCGCTTAGTTGTATTTAAAATCAATTTCTCTTGCTGATATTTCATGAAGATAGCGCAAATCTGACGGGACTCACAGCCCAGTAGAGTAAACAAATGATTTATCTATAAAAAAAAGAAGATAATTTGAAATTGAAAATTTTCTGTATGGATCAGAATTTTTTATGAATTCCATTGATGTGCCTTATTTACGCATGGCTTTGTGTTTACTTTGTGGAATTCGGTTTTTTTTATAAATAATATAAATTAAGACTCGATATATTAAAGAGAGCAAATTATTCCTCAAAACTGAAATATGTATAAGCAGGCGGAAGGTGGAAATTTTTCTGTCGATTTATATTGAGAGAACAATTTGTGCACCTGGGGTCCCTCCACTTTTGTTAAGACGCAGCACGCACATCAGAAATTGGAGGAGAACCATAGCCAAACAGTCAAAAAAACTTAGCAAAAGTGTATGCGCCAAATATTTATTTATTTTGTTAATGAATGTGTGCTGAAAAAATAAAAAAAAACGAAATTTTTGCTTTGATGTATTTGGAAATGCGCTTGTAATTTCTAATTTCATCGATTCTGGCTAATATACATGTATATGTATGTATATTTTTAGACCAACAATCGTACTGCACCTTAATGAAATTTTGTGTAAGAGCGGTTTTTAACTTCCAGCTGTTCAGCATTATTATTTTCAGCAGAAAATCCGTTTTCCATTTCATAGCATTGTTTAAAAGAATTATTGTTTGGGATTTCATGAGACCCCCACGATTTTTCTAGGATTTTTAGAAATATTTTTCCTGGCATTACATGATTTATTTTTCAGGTCCTTTCGGGAAAGTTTTCATGAATTTTCGGGACGTTTTGGAATTGATTTGGGTCCGTTTAAGATCTTTCTTCGTGTTTTACTTTTTGGAATAATATTCATGAATTTTTGGGATGATTTCCATCACATAAGCAGGTAACAAAATATTGCCACGTCAAATATGCAACGCAAGAATTTCTCCAAAATTGAATTGTTGAATAAATTAAAACGTTACCATGGCACCTAGAATGACGGTTACAAAATTTTCAGTAATAAGCGGAATAGGCCTGTAAACCAGCGATAAATATGGCCCTGTAAGGCGCTTCATGGCAAAAAGCGGCAGAAAATTGATCGATGCACGCTTGTCTCGAACGTCGTTAAAATACATTACGCGAAAATGTTACGGTGTTGATTCACATTTTTAAAATCTCTTTAGAAAATATATGCAAGTAAGGATGGATTCATTGATCAAGATAGTAAGTAGAGCACAAAATGGTCTTATGAAAGACTTTTGCCTTTCGAAAGGCTGTGAGGAGTTGTAAGACCGCTGTTAGAATTGCCCTGTAAAATATATGTATTTTTTGTTAGGGTGCTTTTTTCGCGACTACTTTTTCCCACTTCTACCTTGAAATTTTGTGGGAAATACCTAAAAACAAATTCTCTGAAAATTTGAGCCCTTAACACTAACATCGATATTTCTTGAGATAGTGTGGAATTTTCATGGAATATTGAATTTACTACAAGTATGCCATTTATAATTTTTTCCGTAGCCTTTGTTATTTACAAAATGGGGCAAAAAAACGAGAATTTCATGAAAAATTTGGTTTAGTGACCCGTATTATCTCGCTGGTAATATTAAAATTAAGGGCTAAAATTTTCAGAGATTTTTTTGCGTATTTTCCACAAAAGTTCGAGGTGGGAGTGAGAAAACAAGTCGCGAAAAAAGGCACGTATTTATATTCCTTTTAAAAACAATAAAAATGAAAATTATTAAATAAAATAAAAAAAATAAAAAAATAAATTAAATTAAAATAAAGCAATAAAATCTCAAATTTAAATAAGAAAAAAAAATTATCAAGAAAGAATTAAATAGCATTTAAAAGTAAAGTAAAATAAAAAAGTGATAAAAAACAAAAATTAAAAAAAAAATTGAATTGAAAAAGACAAAAAAAAAATCAAATAAAAAATCTAAAACAAGGTGCTTAAAACTAACTGAAATAAAAAATATATATATTTTTTTAATGAATAAAATCTGAAAATTAAAAAAAAATCACAAAAAAAATTACGTTACAAAATGAAAAAAAAACGAGATAAACTTCCAAAAATGAAATGAAAAAAAAAAAATATTTTTCTATATCTAAAGTCAAAAGAAAAATGAACCAAAAAAGAAAAAATAATAATAAACAGATGCAATAGTTCCGAAAACAAAATATTGAATTAAAAAAATATTCTGGTTTTTTTAAATTAATAACATCTAGTTATTAAAAGAAGATTAAATTGAGCAAAAAAAAAAAATTGAATTAAAAAAGAAACAAAAAATTACATAAAAGTTTCTAAAAACTAAAGGGATTTAAGAAATACATGTATATATTTCTTTTTAAAATAATAAAATCTAAAAATTCAAAGATAATTGGATTTAAAAAGAAAAAATATGAATTAAAAAAAATAATAAAATTGCCGCCCGGGAAATATTCGCTTTAGAGACATAAATATTCTTAAATCAGTATTCAAATATTTGTCTGGAATAAATTGGTATTATTAATAATGTTCGCCCATAATGAGCTAGTATAACAAAACACAGAAGTGCTTTAAATTCGTCACTTACCGGTTTGATGATCATATTCGCCGATATAACGCTTGGTTAGGAAACGCACAATCAGAGCTGAAAGGGAGGAATGAAAGAAAATAAGAACCTATTAAAACTCCATTAATTAGTGTTTGCTATGAAATATGCAATAAATACTACGACATGATATATATTCCCCCAAATACCAAAAAAGAAAATCATGTGAATTTAATGTAAATTAAAAGAGCAATAAAACGCGCAAACGCCCACTAACTGTTCACCTGCCTGTGGGCGCAAAAAAAAAAATACAACCAAAGGGAGCAATTTTCCCTCAAAAATAACAAACGAAGGTGCCAGCGATGAATTCGGGTCAATGAGTGAGAAGCACAAACAAAAAAGGGAAATGTAACATTAACGAAACGAAAAGCAGCAAATTGAGTCCAGTAAACAAAAACGAAATGTTGAATTTCACTGCTTGACTTCATTATAAAATCATGTATATACATATGTACATACATTGTTAAACGAAAAACTGTCAAACAAATGGAAAGCAGCTTAAGCAACCACCCACAAAAAACGCTGGAAGACTCGGCGCACACTAGCATTAAAAAATATGCGCGTGCCCAGTAGGAATTGGCTGGAGTAATACAATTTGTTTTTATTAAGAATAAAGGGCACTCATGGTCTGAGAAAAGCTTTTGGTTTATTATATAAACTTGGTCACGAACTGGTCTGCTAGCTAATAATACTGGAAAGAGCTTTGGCCAAACTTCCCTCAATAGGTGGCGTTTCACTTGTGCTCTTTGATAGAGTCAGGATCTTAGGACATAATATGGGGTCGTAGTCTGGCGGAATTCACCAAAAAAGCCAACTCTGGATAAGAAGCTAGAGCATCGTCATTTGTAGGTGTCAGCGGAGCACTCCACACCACGCCTAATATAGCCCTTAACGCTATGCTTAGCGTCGTACCCTTTTGATATTGCGGGCTAAGTTGCCGCGTTCACTCCCCCATCAGGCTAAGAAACTCTGGTTTTCCCTTTCACCTGGCGTACGAGCACTCGGCAATTATTGGAAACTTTGACTTCATACCGAAGGAATTGGATCGGTGCATTCTGAGGTTGGCTTCGAATGGATCCTTCTATACATACATCCCTTTGAGGGATAAATGGGGGAATTTCAGCTCCAGAAGAGAAGAGATCCAATAATAATTTTTCCGAAGCTAGACGTTAGAACTGTTGGCTGTTGGATTACCGATTAAAAGGATAAATATCGACTCTGATAGCGAAACGGAACACAGCATGATGCGTTGGAAACTGATCGAGGAGTACCTGACATCTCTTTCAATCGCCTCGAATTACATCTGAATCAAGTTTCTTTGGGTCTCAGAACATGCGACATAAAATTCCCTACAGGTAGGACATAGGAGTTTCTGCGACAACTTAGATAAATGAAATTTTCGTCGAATCAGCAAATGCTGGAGAAAACCCCGACATGAAAAGTTGCAAAATCTTTCTGGCTTGGTTGCGACTTCTGCGCCAACTCTCGATTCTGATTGGTGTACTGTTAGGAGACTGTTCTTTAAGAAAACATGCGTTGCGGCTTAATATCGTCACGGACGTCTATTGCTACAGCTATTAGAAGAACGATGAATTGGAAATATCACTCTCAGCTGTGCAGTTTTTGCTGGATTAAGGTTTAAACACCTCCCGGGAAACTCTCTGGAGTGGACATGAGCCGTCTGCGGAACCCTTTTTTGACCACCCAGCGCTTTTCCTAACTTCACATAGATTACCTTCAGTTACCGCTCCAGGAATAATCTACAAGGTAGTAATAGAATTTACATTTAACTGAATGAGCCTCTTGAGTTCTGTAAAAAAAGAAGAAGTAGTAATATAACATTTTTCAACCAGGTGGCAACCCGCTTCAAAAATATTTTCGGCCGTAGACTTTCATAAACCCCTTTGGTTTGTTACCCACATTGCAAATTTAATTTATATTACTAATTAAATTAAACTAAAACTTTCAAACAGGTGGCAACCTTCCACAAAAATATTTTCGGCTGTCAGCCTTTTTAAACCTATTTATTTTGAGAGTCATACGGTAATATTTAATTTATCTTATTAATTAACTTAAACTGAAATTTTCAAACAGGTGACAGCTCCCTAAATATTTTTATTTTTTTTTAATATTTTAAGTTCGACCGCTAGCAATATATCAGTGAAAACTACATTCAATTTCATGCATCAGTTTTTGAATGATGCGCGTATATACATACAGACAGACAGGCAGACGGACAAAAATTCTAAAAATTTTTGATTTGGCGTCTGTTGCTCTAGTACCTCCAAATTAATTTTTCTTTAATATTTATAATGCGCAGACATCATAAAGCCAAAAACTTGCTAGAGAAGCACATTTTAAAAGCTCTGCATTTTTTTTCCTATTGGGTATGCATACGTTTGGGTGTGTTTACGTAAAAGCGAAAGCCTTTCTCTCATTTCTGAAAAACAGCTGCTATTGTTCAGCCAGCAGCGACGCCAGCTACAACGAGGTTGTTAAACTCGCAACCTAAAAAAGGACTTCCGTTTTCAATTTATGCAGCACAGCCAGGGGAGAAACGCTACAGGCGAATTGCGCACAAACATACATAAGTGCATGCAAATTAATTTCACAAACATACATACATACCCACATACATAAGAACGATCTAATATGCTTGCTGTCCGTTACAAAGTGTTACTGCCGGTGAATTGCACCTTAATGTTGCGTGTTTGGCTCACACAAAAGACGGACGGACATATTTCGTACAACATACTCTGACATACAGCCAGATGAGAGCAGCAAAGCCAGCAGCAGTACGCTTGTGTTGCATATTACAGGGCGCTTGAACTTACATTTGCACGCAAATTTCCTGCGATGTAAGTTTATAAGCTCGAATAGCAAACACATAACAGAGAGATAGTTGCATGGCAAAGTAGCATAAAGGTAACACAAAATCAACATGGCAACCAGAGGCAGAAGCAAAAGCAAAAGCAAAAGTGGATGTAGGGAAAAAAAGTGGACTACCAAAGAACCATAGAAAGGTAGTGTAACATGGAAATTTGTACAGGTTTTTTGCCCGGCACACATGAGTTCTTCTAGCGAGTGAGTGTGCAAGCTGCAATGCTTTGCTTGCGGCCATGCCACTGTGCGGCACGGCGTGTGTAGTTACACTTCGGCAGTTCATGCAATTTTGCATGTATTGGTGCTTTTATGCAAATGACATTTTGTCCACTTGATTTGAGTAGCAGACCCCACCCACATCAGCTTACAGCGACAAGCAATGATGAACGCCTGCTGGCAAATTTGTTTGAATGGGTAAAGCGGACTACCTACATACATACATACATACATGAGGGGTGGGGAGGGTAATAAAGAGTTTGTACTAAGTAAACGCAATTTGAATGAGGCAAACTACATATTTTGTGTGAAATTGAGAAAATTTGCAGTTGTGCGCACCAAGAGTAGAGTAGAAATACTGTAAACATTTTCTTGCATTGCCTGTTATTTAGGCTAATTGTGGTTTCATGAGGAAATACATACATATGGACATACATATAATGCAACAGGGAAATGAAATGCATTTGGAATTGTTGTTGGATGTCGAGATATGTATAAAATCAAAGAATTTGTGGCACGAACATGTTTACAATGGACAGGATGGCTATCGAAAAATAGACTTTTATTTTGAGTAAAATTTGTCTATTTCCCGGCCACGTTTTTATTGCAGAAATTTATTTAGAACGAAAATGCTTTGACTGATGGAGGAAGACTCCTCTCCACAAAGTACTTGATAAATAGCTAGCATGGCGTATCCTATATGAATTTGTGTTAGAGGTGTATAGGGTGATCCAAAAAAAAAA